AAAAAAAAAAAAAAAGACTGTATAAAAAGAAAACCTTACTTATGAATAGCAGTTAAAAAATTCCTAACAAAATGCTGGCAAAAGGAATTTCGGAACACAATTAACAAATCATTTTTGAAATTTATTCCAGAATTGCAAAATTAGGAAAGCTACTAAAATAAGTCATCATATTAATACACCTAAAAAGAAAGACCAGGGGTGCCTGGGTGGCTCAGTCGTTAGGTGTCTGCCTTCAGCGCAGGTCATGATCCTGGGGTCCTGGGATCGAGCCCCACATGGGCTCCCTGCTCAGCAGGAAACCTGCTTCTCCCTCTGCCACTCCCCCTGCTTGTGTTCCCTCTCTCGCTGTGTCTCACGCTGTCAAATAAATACATAAAATCTTTAAAAAAATAATAATAATAAAATAAAATAAAAAGACCATATGATTATCACCATAGATGCTAAGAAAGTAACGTAAAATACATTATTTATTATTTTTTTATTTAAAAAGCTAAATAACAGAAGTATTATAAGTTAAATATGTATATTAACCTTAAAAAAACAGGATCATTCTTAATGGGGAAACACTATCCAACATTTTATTAAAATTTATTGCTTTCTAGGTTCTAGACATTGGTGTGGTATAGACAAAAATCCTATACTTAAGAACTTTATGTTCTGGTGAGATGAATAATAAAATTAATGAGTAAAATTGTATCTAATATAGTGTTAAGTGATAAGGAGAAAAATTAAGGCAAGAAAAGCAGAATATGAAATGTTGGGGCAGGGGTGGGGAAGGATTCAGATTTATATAGGGCTGCCAGAGAAGACTTGACTGAAGTCACTTTTGAGTCAAGATTTGAAGTAAGGGAGTAGGCCATGTGAAGGAAGAACAAGTCCAAAGGCCCTGAGATGGCAGCTTGCCTGTGTTTGAGGAGTGAGGACTGAAGATGTTAAAGAGTGGAAGGAGCTGAGTAGTCAATGAGGTGAGAGAAAGAGCACGAGTTTCTTTTTTTTAAAAAAATTTTATTTATTTATTTGATAGAGAGAGAGAGAGAGAGAAACCGCACGAGAGAAGAGAGGGTCAGAGGGAGAAGCAGGCTCCCCGCTGAGCCGGGAGCCTGATGTGGGATTTGATCCCAGGATTCTGGCATCATGACCTGAGCTGAAGGCAGTCGCTTAACCAACTGAGCCACCCAGGCACCCAGAACACGAGTTTCAATTTTCAGACAATAACGGGCAATAGATGACAGGGGAAGCCACTGGAGAGTTTTCAGCAGAGACTAATGTTTTAATTGGCTCTCTCTGGCTGCTATGCTGAGAGGAGAATATAAGGGCAAGGGTAGGAGCAAGAAGCCCAAGTTGGGATGCCACTCCAAGAACTTGGGTAAGAGAAAACAGTGGCTTGGATGGGGGTGGTGAAAGTCAGGGTTATGAGAAGTGGTAAAACTCTGGACTGATTTTTAGGGCAGTACTAAAAGGATTTGCTAAAGGATCCGATATGGGGTGTGAGGAAAAAATAGGAAAACAAAATTGCAATTACCTGAGATGAAGACCCCAAAAGGAACTGGTTTGGTGGCAAATGTAAAATTTAAGATGCTTCTTAGACATCCAAAGACAAATGCCAAATAGGTAGTAGGCTAGGTATTGTCTGGCCAGGCTACAGGTGCAAATTTGGGAGTCATGAGTATTTAACAACAATTAAATCCATGAGAATGGATGAATCATTTAGGGAACAAGTGTAGATAGAAGAGAGAAGGAGAAGAACTGAGTTCTGGGGTACCCAAAATTTAGCAGTTGGAGAAATAAAGAGAAACCAACAAACAGACTGAAAAAGAACAATCAGAGAGGTAGGAAGAAACTTAGGAGAGTGTAGTATTGTAAAAGTCACATGAAGGCCAACATAAGGACCAAGAAATATCTAGAGGTTTTGGTAATGTGGAGATCAATTTTCAGAAGAGCACTTCTAGTGGAGTGGTGGTGAAACCCCAATTGGTATGGGTTCAAGAAAAACTGGAGACAGTGTAAACAATTCTCTCAAAGAGTTTTGCTATAAAGGAGAAAAATGAGAGTAGTTGGGGGTGGGGGATCTGAATAAAAGGTTGCATTTTTATGTTTTTAAAGATGGGAGACAGGAGATAATGTTTTTGCATCCTAATGGGAATAATCCAGAAGGGAGGGAAAAATTAATAATGCAAGAGGAAAAAGCATTCTACACTAATGTCAAGCCAATAGCAAGAGACAACCCAAGTGTCCAACCCAGAGCCTAAGTTAAATAGATTAGAAATCCATTCTAGATCTATCCTAAGCAGCACTAAAAAAAGAAATGAGGAAGCATTCCTTGTAATCAAATGGAGAGATCTTCAAAATATGTCACATTAAAAAAAGTCATAGTATAATTAGGGATAGTATAGTACGTTTTGTGTAAGAAAGAAAATAAAGAAAATATTTATATTTTTGTTTTAATATAAAGAAACAAAGCAGTTACCCATATGAGGTGTGGGGAGAAGAAAGGATAAAGAAGAAAGTAGCTGAAAGCAGAACAGAAGCACGTATGAGCTTTCTTTCTATACTTTATTATATTGTTCTGATATTAGAATGTCTACATTCCCCAACATCCTCTCCCCCAACTAAAAAGAAAAGGAACTGCAAAACTCGAAACTTGATATGCAAAAGTTAATCTGTTAAATAGTACGTCCAAGAAAGCAGACACCAAAGTTGTATGCTGTCCCTTCATCCTCCAGCTTCTGCATCTACTCTCTTTTACTTCTCCTAAATCCAGATGCTAATCTCAGCCCTCTTCGAGATCTCCAAAGAGAACCACACAAAAAGCATCTGGGAACAATGTTGACTTCACTAAAGACTTTTTTAAAGAACCAGTGGAAGGAAGGAGCTTTATATCACATAACTCACAATAAACAGTTGAGCAATGTTTTTAGGGCTAAGTTTTTACGGCTAACTGTTCTCCACAGTTCTTCCAGGTCTTGCTAATTAATTAGCTTCTTTCTCTTACTCTCCAAGTCAACTCCTGTACTAACTACTCTACACTCCCCACTGCCATGTCTGATTCCAGCCTTAGTAATTTATTCAGGGCAATTCGATTTAGCCCTGCAAGCTGATCAGCAAAACAGAGCTCCCTCCCTGACTTTCCCTACCCACCCACCCACCCAGTGAATGGCATCTCTTCTCCTTAAAGGGTACTAAATGTGTAAGACCCATCTCTGCTCACTGGCTGTACTAGATATCAAATTTAAAATAATGCTAGGAGCTACATGTCCTGTGAACATTATTCTACAGGGATATTTATACAAATCCTTTCTTTATCCAAATGTGGATTAAGTTAGGTGATAAAGTATGTACTCTTTGGCTAGCTTTTATAAAACTGATAAAGGAGCTCAACATTGATCACATAGGTTGAAAGAGTTCCTATCTTTATACTACAAAGACTGTGTATTTACGAGCCCTAAAAATGACTTTTAAAAGTTTTTAAAGGAGAGATTTGCAACAAATTTAGAAAACACAGGAAGATATACATGCAATAATAAAAAAGGAATAACAGCTAACATTTATTGCATTCTTCCTATTGCCAGGACACTTGCTCGCCACATCTAACAATTACAGTAATTCTTTGTAAATATACTACCATTATCTACACCATGCATAAGAGGACACTAAGGTTCAAAGAGTTAAAGGCCAAGGTCACAGGACCGGGAAGTAACAGAGCTGGGATCTAAATATAGGCAATTCCATTTAAAAGCTGCCCTGTAAAGCACTAAACTGCCTTCAGAATCTATCAAGAAATTTACCTAAAATTGGGACTTCACTAACCTTTCTTCAGTTTATTTATTATGTATATTTTGCCTTCTCATTAGTTATTAATTCCCAGCATTTATTTTCCCTATTTAGATAATTGAGTTAATTTCACAATATATTTGGCCCTTTTCCAAACTTCCTGATTTTTCTAGTGATTTGATTTTCCTCATGATAGATTATAAGAGCTATTTAACTATTAATATTAATGCTTTATCTCCTATTTGTTTAATTTTCCCAGTCTGCCACTAGCCTTTAATTTTTATGATTTTTAGCCTTCTAAAATTTTTTTGTGTGTGTGAGAAAATCCATCAATAGCTTCCTTTATGGCTCCTATCTTTCTTTGTTTCTAGTATAGAAAGGCCTCTCCTATCTAACATGAATTTATTTGTAATTTCTTCTTACTTTATATATTCTTTTTTATTTAAATCCATCTAAAATTTAGAGAATGGTGTATAGTAGGATCCTCCTCTGTTTTTTCCCCCAGTTTTTCAATTGTGCCCATCCTTTTTTTAATAATACAAATTCTTTCCTAATTTGAAATACTACCTTTCTATGAACGTCTTCTTTGTTTTTTAGTGGTTTAGGGGCCATTATGTTCCACTGAACTGTCTAATCCTGTGTTCTAATCAAAACCTAATTTTTATATAAAAATTTCAATAACCAATTATACCAAATGATGTGCTATTAGCCAGTTAAAACTGATACTGTCATCATTTCTTTGCACAAAGTTTAAAATACGAATCTCCAACCTTGATGCTACTGAATCTCAATTATTCTTAGTAATGCTTAAAAATTACACTACTTACACATAAACTCTACTTACCTCAGAAAGAGTGCTCATTTCAATTGCAGTTATCAAGTTATTGTTCATGAGTGCTTCTATTTCTATAAGCTTCTTATTCTGTATGTGTAAAATAAAGACCTCTTTTAATCAATTAAGATTCATACATTCATGGGGATATCATCAGCTGAGAAGACTTAAAAAATAACTGAGATCATATTGAGCTAAAAAGGTACATTCTATTGTTCAAATAGCCACACACACACACACACACACACCCCTTGATTGCTTTTGAGTTCTCAATCATAAATTTTCCTACAAACATTTCTCTATCTTCTCATAATAATAATACATCCCATGGAAAGTGAACATAGTTTGTCAGACAATTTAACACTCATGAATAGATCAATTTTTCCACTATAAATTAATTTCTGCTCATTTCAGTGTTAGAGCTATAGTTGCAGCCTAGCTGACCATTGGCTCTTCCTGACCTGTCTGTGGACAGAGTTGGAAGTTGGAAGGGAAAGCAATGACTACAATCTTCATTCTATTTGGTGTGTAGCCAGGAGAAAACTGGGGTTAAAAGAGAATACAAACACTCTGGGAATTCCCCTCTTTTCATTGGAAAAATTATGTCCATCTTCTTAAAATGTATTAATGCACCAAGGTTTGCGAATGATAAACAATCGAATGTTGATCACGGTATTATTATACTAGCTTGCAGGGCCCCAAGTGCACATTCAGAATGTAGACTGAAGACACCTATTTTACTACCCATTAACAGTTTGTTCATTAACATGGCATACACTTTCAATAATTTTTTACAATGACTGGAGATTTGAAAAACCTTTTTAGAGCTTCTATAATAATATAGTTAATAATTATTCTATAATTCAGAATTCAAACACAATATAGTTTCCATACCAAATTATTTAGTTTTAGGCGAAGAAATGTGTTCTCAAAATTCAGTTTCTCCACTTCTTTTTGCAATAGCGTCTTTTCAGTTGTAATTCTTCGAGAATTCTCTTTCTCTCTACTAAGAGCCTGAGCTAATGCCCTGTTGTTGTGCTTTAAAGAAATTTTGAAAATAGAAGAATTGTCTGTAAAAAAATTTTAGAAGTTAATATTGAACTTGTATCTTCATAAGTTTTCATACCCTTAATGAAACTATTTTAGGCAAAATATATCGTAAGTTTTAACTAAAGGTTGGAAAACAATAGAATAACAGTATAGATGTAGTTTTGAAAAAAATGTATCCAGAGTTTGGATCAGCAGAAATAAAAGCTAGACAGAAGATGAAGAATAAAAGAGCTGTGAGGAATGCAGACTGTTGTGAATACAGAGTTAGGAAAGAAGACGTCTAGGATAGACACAGTATCCTAGATAATTAGACCAGTCACAAAAACTCAATCCTGATACCTGTTGCCCTACCTGTCTTCCTACTCTGACTAGGAAGTAGAATGGAGAAGCTGATTCTGAAGCTGTAACTGGCGATAGCCCATAGGTACTAGGGTAGCCAATCTGTCAAAATTTTAAAGCCGGTTTCTGTGACTCCAGAAAATTAACAAATTAAAATTAACAAATCAGTTAATGCTCCTAAAGTCCATTTTTCAAAGTCTTTAGTGAAAGGGAGCATACTTACTATAAGGTTGGACAGATCATCTAAACCCTGTGGGATCTTCTATCTCCCCCCTAAATATCCAACTCTTACTTATAGGCATTTACTGCAATCTAAACTTGACCCCTTCTCTTTACAAGTACTATGTAAATATAATTTAAATCAGAAATGTTTCTGTGTTGTTAGCAGAGAAATTTATATGTGAATTCTTTGGGAGAGTTCACCTTAAATATTGTGTGCTCCCTCAGTACACAGAAAGCATACTTACATTTTCATAAAGTTTATTTAAATGCCACTATTCAATAACATATCCCACTGAGTAGAAATATAGTATCTATAAGATACATTTATAAAAGTAATAATATTTTTTAAATATTCAGGGAATGTTTGGGCATCTAAAAAACAGGGTCCAAAAAAGTACTTTATCTTTGGCATAGAGAAAGTAGTTCCAGACAGCCACCTTTGACATAGCAAACGAAAATAGATTAGAACTGGTTTTGGATTTCCAGAGCTAAAGGATAATAATATTTTCCTGTTGCACTCCTCAAACACAGTATGTTCCTTCATAATAGTGGGTGTACAACAGTCCTGCCAAACAGAACAGGAAACAGCCACTGTACGATGGGGTCTAATATACCACATGACCCTAGACACCTGGGTAGGAGGAACATTAAGATTTAAAGATACTCACAAGTCTCAGCTATTTTACGGGGCACACACAATTATCCTTCACAGGGGCTATATCAACAGGAAACCTTTCCCCCTCCTGCTAAGATGGATATAAACCACTGAGATAATTTTCAGAAGTGATGAGAATTTATCTTGGCAGTTTTTCCCACTTCCCTTTTTTTTTTCTCTTCTAAAATCTTAGTTCCAGAATCCATGAAACCCTATCTCCAAAATGCTCAGTACTCTCATGAGCTTTGGCTATAGAAAATCACCCACTACAATTCTCTACCTGGGCCAACCACATCTAGATCATCCATAGTCCTATTGCTACAGCATGCAAGAACAATCTGTCACTTTTTTTAGCTCTTTTCCAGAAATGTCACATTGGTATTTTCTTTGCTGTGTAGGAGGTAGCTGCTTTAGGCTACCCCAGCCTTACTGCTGAAAATTCTGCTGCCACCACTGAGGGTAAATCATCATAACCACTCAACTAATAGGAGTTGAAGGATTGAACGAACAAACCGTATCAGTTAACAAAAATAGTCATTTTAGTCATTTCTATACTTGATAAAATAAAGTACCAAATATTATATCAATTCTCCAAGGGAAAGTAAAAATGTGAGCATACTTTAATGGTACTTACTTAATATTTTTGTTTTGATTTTTGAAGCAAGAGAAACATTCAGTTTCCCAGTCTTTGAAATTCTTTTGTCTTTCACATGTCTCTTAATTCCTGAAGTAAAAAGTGAGCCAGTGTCCATCACTGGGTGCTCCATCACTGAAATAAAAACAAAAAAGAAAGAAATCAGAGTATTGATTAATAAAAGAAAAAAAGGATAACTGATAAATACATTCTAAAAGGTAACGATCATGACTTAGGTGATATAATTTGTTTGTATATAAGTATCTGCAAAATCCTTTGTATAAATCTGAAAGTAAGCATATAGTCAAAAGTGGTTTAAAGTAGTATCCAAAAAAGGTAAATGACCGTTTTTTCATTTAAAACCTATATTATTATATCTATGCATCAGGAGCTAGGTTAGGCACTGGGACAGAAAACAGGATATGGTTGTGTGGGAACACATAGTCATGGAATGCAGAGTCCACTGTGGGTACAGATCCTATTTCGATACAATGTAAGAAGTGTAACCTTAGAGAATGCACAGAACAGATAAACCTAATCTTATGGGGTCGTGGGGCTAGCTGGTTTGGAGGAGTAAGCGGGAAATCTTGCATGTGTCTATTTGTCCATTAGAATTACTCTAAAGTCTATGGGACCACTATGGGACCATTCTAAAGTCTAATAGTGGAAAGAAGATAATCACATTATACTATGACAAGAATAACTGATATAATACACAATGCATAAAAGTAATTAACTCTGCCTGGGCAGAGGAAAAGGATCAGAAAAGGTTTTACTGAGAAGGTACAGTTGATGCTGAGCTATGTAGACAAGACTAACCTCTCAAAACTCCCATCCCTTCCCCAAGCCTCCTTGCCTCCAGCTTCAGAGATCTAGAAGAAATGCTACCAGCAGGGCGCCTGGGTGGCTCAGTCGTTAGGCATCTGCCTTCAGCTCGTGTCATGATCCCAGAGTCCTGGGATGGAGCCCCGTGTCGGGCTCCCTGCTCCGTGGGAGGCCTGCTTCTCCCTCTCCCACTCCCCCTGCTTGTGTTCCCTCTCTGGCTGTGTCTCTCTGTCAAATAAATAAATAAATAAATAAAATCTTTAA